TCTCTCTCTCTCTCTCTCTCTCTCTCTCTCTCATAATTATTTTTATAACAAATAAATTATATTATGAAACCATAGGCCAGTTGTCGTTTTTAAATATATCCACAATAAAAACAGTGATATACTTTAGAATTTAAAGTTTAGATGATGCCTTTGTATTTATACGGATAGTAAATTATTTATTAAGTGAATTAAGTTAAGTTTCATTATTAATATTATCAATACTATTAACTATCATTTTTGCGGATCAATTGCCTATCAATTTACAGTAAATTTTGTGCAAATGCTTTAAACAAAACACAGAATAGTTTGTTATTTGAAATAACTTATTTCATCCATTGATTTATAAGTTTTGATATATTTTTAATAGTTATTTTATTTTATTTAATTATGTTTTGTGATTTTTGTGTTAATTAACATTTATTGTTTAATTTTTCATTTTGGTTAATTCTATAGCATAATTAAATACATTTATATAATCGTCAAAACAAACAAATTATGAATTTCAAATTAATGTTTTTATTATAATTGTAAACTAATAACAAAATTAATTTTTTCAAATACGTTAAATTATATAATATACGAGTGAGAGTTGAGAAACTGGCTATCATTACATTGGACTGCATGGCATTTGACCACCATCACCACCACCATGAGCAAAAAAGTGATTGCCATTCAAATCATTATGAAATTCTGTGCGACCAAACCGTCGGTGCTGTTCATCCCTCTCGCGCTCGACATCCATATCCAAAAAGGTCAGCACCTGTTCATTGCCGGACAGTTTACAATCAGACGGCTCGGGTGTGGCCAACAACGGCTTTGTGGGCGACAATAAGACCGCCAAACGGGTTAGAGTTTCGGGCGTCAAATGATTGGTTTCCGGAAACTTTACCCTAAACTTGATTAACAGCCGACCTTTGGTGAAGTGCTGGCCCAACACTGGCATACCTTCGTTGGCGATACACTTGACGGCACCGTCGGCCACCACTTCACCCGCCAATGATGTGACCACTAGTGTGCGGCCGTCCAGTGTCTTGAGGCCCGTCCGGAAGCCGCACAACGACTCGGTTAGGCTGATGTCCAAAGTGGTCAACAAGTTGTCTATTTTGTAACGTTTGAAACGCCGGTCAAACTGCTCGTCGAGCACTACCACCAGATCGCCAGTCTGTCCGCTCATCGGATCCAAGTGTCCGCCACCGGTCACCACAATCCTGTGCTCATCTTCGGCGCCCTTATCGACGCGCACCTCTACTTTGTGGCGCTCCTCCACCACCCGATTGCCGTCGCATTTGGGGCAGCGGTCGGCGGCCGCCCGGCGACTGCCTCTACACTCCGAGCATACCTCTTGAGTTTCAATTACCATAAGCCCAATGTGTTGAGTGCGGCGCTCAAACCCAGTGGCCCGACACCGGCGACACGGCTGTTGACCCTTTTGATCACCGCGTGTGCCGTCACTCCGGGAACCGGTGCCGACACACGTCGGGCACCGGACCAGTCGCTGATACTCGACCAGCTTATTAGCGCCGACGTACAGCTCCTGCAAAGTTACCTTTAATTCTTTGGTAATGTCTTCGGATGATTGGCCAAAGAACTGCTGGAACAGATCAAATGGTGATGACTGTGGCTGTCCGGAGCCGTTCACAGCCGCTTCGCCGCCCGTGTCGTAGGCCTGGCGCCGGTCGGCATCGGACAGCACTTCGTAGGCGCGGGCAATGAGCTTGAATCGGTCGGCGCCGTCCGGGTTCTTGTCGGGGTGGTACCGCAGCGCCAACTTCTTGTACGCCCTTTTCAGTTCCGGTACCGTACAGTCCGGCGACACTTCCAACGTGTCGTAGTACGCGGTCTCTAATACCATGAGTAGACAGTGGTGTTTGTATTTTGGTGGTGAAAATAATCAGTATATTGTCTGTGGGTTTTTGTCTGTGAATGACTTTTCACAAAAATTACTATAAATAATGTCTAGTTTTTACATACAGATAAACTGATTTTGATTTTGACATGTGCTTTTTATATAAAATATTAATGGTGAAACATTTAATTATTTATCCTACGCTTATAATAGGCTAAAAACACCTTATCTATGTGTCATCAAAAATATAACTCGTTATAAGTTTAAAGTTTCAAGGGTATGCCAATTGATTTAAAATTACCAATGACCTTTATAGTTTTAAGTCACATACTTGTACAATTACATACTGTGCTTATAAGCTTTAGATGGCATGAGTGGTTCAGTAATCATATTTAATTATCAATTTCTATAATGAGATTTGTACATTTTTTAAATAAAGCTCAAATATTTAAATTTTAAATAAGTATTGACATTTATTATATTTATGTTACATTTGTAATTTATCATTCCAAACATTCTTTAACTTGTCTAGTAGATAGAAAATTTAAACATTATATTATTTAGATAAAATATCTATTTTTAGTTATTTTATTTGTTAATAAACTCCAAAAAATAGTTTCAAAAACTACTTCTGGAAACATTTATTTTAAAATGATTTTCTCCATTAAATCGGCAATATTTTTCCTGTCGGGACTGTTTCTCATTCTGCGGCCAATGTTGGCCACCCTATCGGCCAAATCGGTGTCGGCGGCCATTGTATCGACAGCTTTGAGCAGTTGGTCTTCCGTACAATGAAACGGATTGAGACAAAGTCCGAGTCGGGTCTCAACCACTCTCTGGCCGACATCTAACTGATCGCAAAATAGTGGCAAAACGAGCGCAGGTTTACCGCAATAGTAGCTCTCGGTTACAGTCGTCCCGCCGTGTGATATAACCAGATCTACAACTGGAAGGATTGCCATTTGCGGCAAAAACTCTTTGCCCCACATATTGGGCGGCAACGGGTGGTCGGCAAACACCGGGCCTTTTGACACAATAAATCGATGCCTCGATTTGGCCAGAATTGTGGTCAATCGGATCATGAGCTCAATGTTTGCGCAGCCGAACGAACCCATAGACAAGTAAATTAGTTTACTATCGGTGTCAGCGCTGGAGACGAGTTGGTCCGGTATCTCAAACTTCTCATTAGTAGTACGGATGAAGTTTTCGGCCCGAACCCAGTTGTTGGCCATCGGCTGTAGATTTTTGTATTCAAACTCTTTTGGCCACAAATATATATTTAGATGAGGGCTGAGGGGGTGGAGGCGCCCCTTTGCCAGTGGGGGCGCACCCTTTGCCATACAATAATCATTAATCTGTTCCCTGGCATCAGCTAATAGTGCGGTGGTTTGATCCCGAAATTCCTCCCAATCGTTGCTATCATTCAATGGCAGACCTAATGTTTGTGTATTTAATTATTAAAAGTTATAGGAAAATAATTATTACATATTTACTAACATTTCTAAAATAATTTTTTATTTAAATCTGTTTAATTAATTACTTTACCATATTGTAATCTATTATTAATAGTAATTTTTTATTTAGAACAGATATAACAAAACTTATTTGACATACCAGACCAGGCCGGGGGTATCCGGGGATCGTTGATTGCCGCGTGTACTGCAGCCGAGAAGAGCCAAACCCATGGTATGCCGGCGTTAGTGATGGACGGCATACACACGT